CTTTAACCTAAATATATATTTTTCACTAGTAGATAAAAAATATAAATCAAAATTGAATGTAATGCCAGCAATTATTTGTTGTTTTTTTTTAAAGAAAAGCAGGATTAAATCTGTGCACAATCAATGACTAGATGATTAATGCTGAATGCCATACAAACAAATTTAGGTTGAATAAGCAATACATTTTTCACCATTATGCAATTTCGTCTCGTGGAACTCAGTTTAAGGAACACTGGTCATTTGGGGTTAATCATAAATTTATGCGTAATTTCGTTTTAAACGTAACCAGTTGGCATGCGGCCCCATGTACCGTACAACAAGACCATAAAAGTGAAAAATAAAATTTTATTTTCGAAGCATAAAGTGTCAAAGAACATTTTCAATTAAAAAAATCAGAAAAAAATATTCCAGCAACGAGTTGTGGGAACTTTCCCGGCAACAACATTCAAACTTGTGTGTGGTGCCATCTGTTAGGATATTTTATTTAAAAAAACTTTTTATATAATTAATTATTATAAAAGGGCAAAAGGCTTAATTTCGAAGGTGGAGATAAGTTTTATAAAAAGTTGTAAATGCTATATAACGAGTAAAATCTTCATTAAGTCCGACTCCACTCGAGACATGACAAACGATCCCCCTCTATCTCTCCATCCCCTCGACATTTAACCACCAGAATTTAATAGTTTCAATTCCCCTAATACACAAATCTCCCTGAAAAATGTTTCAAATTTTCGACAAACGACACAGGAGTTGTTAATCTTCAAAGAGGGTAAACAAAAGTCCCCCATACACATACACTGACATCCATACATACAGCAAAAACTTCCAATTTTTTTTTTTGCATTTCTCGACGTTTCAATAAGTTTTTGGGAGGTTATTTTTTGATATAGGCCTATATAACAGACGGGAAAGTAAAAATCGATAGAATTGTTACTTTACGCCATTTTATCATGATAAATCATTTTTACCAATACAATTTTAATTATTAATACCATCTCTAAAGGAATATTTTTACGTTTTTGCATATTCAGACGGACGAAAATCCTACAGATATTTATCACCCTTGCTGCGAATTCGACTTTTATTTCTTAGAGTATGAAGAGAAAAAAAAATTTAATATATCATCGTTATTAAGAAACTTCTTGTGAATTCTTTAAACTCGCATAAATATTTATTGTTAATAACTTTTTATCTGTTTAAAGCACAGTTGCTAATTAATATATTCAAATTTTCACATGAAAAACATATATTAAAATTACTCTTTTATTGAAAACAAATGTAATATGTTATTTACTGTAGTTATTTACTTTAAATAAATAAATAAAAATTCAGTTTTTTTAATTACTAATAGAAACCTACAATTAGCAAATTAAAAAAATTGTTTTATTAAATTAATATGTCATTACTTTAAACTACCAATTAACTAAATTTTTATTAACATATGCCAACTGCATTCAAATCAATTCTAAAAACGGGAGGTAGCATCATCTTCAGTGAAGTGAGCCAATACTAGATGGCGTTCAAGACTGGCTTATAGCACTTATAATAATAATAATAATTATTATTATTTTAAATTTTCTAACAATTATCAACAATTAACAAATTAACAATTAACAAGCTTTATCTAATTTAAATCTGAAAAAGTAAGTCAAACTTGAATTATTATAAGTAAGAAACTATTATTATTTAGCTGTACAGCAATTTAACGTATAAGTACAAAAACGTAATTACATACGAATTGTTTTCGTAGATATTTTGGCAAATATAAGAAAGAAAGATTATTATTTTCGTAAATTGATCTTCACAGTTTAAATACAAAATATAAGATGTTCATTAGCCTTTAAATCCGATGAACTTTTCTTACGCGAACAGAACAAAGTTAACTAATCTCGACTTTCTAACAATTAGGTGATTTTAACACTGCAACCGAGTTAATCCGCCTTAAGTAAATTACTGACACGTGACATCACAGCCTCAGCTCTTTGCTGGAATTAACAACAGGAAGAATGTCGTCATATTAATCTAAATTAAGTCGTATCGTATATGAACACTTTCTTGGCCTTCAGGATCGTTATTTCTGGTTAACTTATCTGAATCAATCTTACCCTGATTAACTTTCGTCGTGTAAACATAGTATACGCGTCTAACAGGAATAACACATTATATTTTCAGTTTATTAATTTATTTCGATAAAATTTTTAATGGAATTAAATTTGTTTTTAAATTTATAAAAATCGTTAAATTTAACCTATTATAGTCTCTTAAATATTTCATATCTATTGTTTATTCAAGCCTTCAACTTAGATGCATAATTAATGGTTATAATTTCATCATGGCTCATATATAACTTTTTCCTGATAGCTATTAACTTGTCATTAACATTTATAATAAAAATATTCAAAGTTAACGTGTTATTTAATAAAGACAAATCGTATAAAATAAAGAAAATGAACTCTAATTTTTATTTATTTTAATAAAAAATTTATATATAAAAATAAAAACAAAACAATTGAAAGATAAGCATCATTTATTTCTTGGTAAGTTAATTTATTTACTCAACTTCATACCACACATAACCTATTTTATAGAATAATTAGTACTTTTATCCATTTCTGGTGGCATTGTTTCTGCCCTGTAGGAACTAATTCTCATGTTTATCATGAGTTTGACCAGGCCCACAATGAGATACGGAGTAACTTCGGCCATAAGGTCGTCCAAGGATAATACCTAACAACGTAAACTTCATATTAATATTGTTTAAGATAAACTACTTTAAAATCTGTTTTAATATAAGAATATTTTCTAAATTCAATTTAAATGCAGGTGATGATAAACAAACAGGAGCATGTAAACAGGAAATCAATTTACTATTTTGGACTTTGAGTAAACTGCAGAAAATTATTTTTGATAAGGTTCATTGTTTAACCAGAAGCTGTTTTCTATCAGAAGACAAATTTAGAGTAAACAAACATCCTATAATTTCGTTTATAAATTTGGCAATTGTGCCAATCGTAACCAAAATTTCACTTGGAAGTAATCAACTTAGTTAGATATGAAGTTTATGTTATTACTTTTGATAATAGGAACTGCCTTTCAGTCAATCCTGGGCGATGGTTTGTAAATTTCTAAAATTTTAAATATTTTTACTCGTATATATTTCATATTTATTGATACTAATTATGATCAGTAACTAATACTGTAATTAAAAATTTTTTTATTATAGATTCTATTTCTTCTGACGAGATTTCGGACGAGCACATCCATTTAGAACTTTTTGGAGTTCCCATAAGACATAAAAGAGCATGTAATCGTAATACAAAAGTAATTCGCATCACAGGAAAGTCAAGAGATGGAAAATATAACTCATTATTGGACACTTCACCATGCGCTGCAGCTGCTCTTCCTTGCTCAATGATGACTTCTCCAGATACTATGGTATCTGCTGTTCCTTCTATTGCTCCTGCTTCTGCTCCTATCGCTCCTGTTTCTTCACCAGCTTCAATTCCTGCAACTACAGGAGTACAACCGATGCCTATCATGTACGTCCCGACGTATCAGCCTCCACCTATACAACCCAGCCCCATGGTTATAATGTCTCCACCTAGTCAACCTATAATAATGCAAACACCGATTGGAGGGGGAAGTGAAGCTCTACCACACAATCTACCAGATTTGAATGCGAATTTGCCAGATTTATCAGGTAACCTACCTAATCTGGGAAATCTTAACGGTGACCTAAATTTACAAGATACAAACCTTGACAATATTTTACAAAATTCGAAAAGAACACAAGATATAAATTACGTAAGAAGTTATCCATCGTTCATTTTACCAAATGGACAGAAAGTCAAAGCAACTCGTGTAGCTCAGCAGTATATGATAGTTCAACCAACTTCCTATTTAATCGAACCGAACACTTTTCAGTAATTACCTTTATAAATAAATCGATTTTTTTCCTTGATAACACTTATTACTTCAAAATATCTGTTTCATTAAAATTCTATATTTTTGCTTATTTTATGTAAGAAATTTTTTGAAGAATAAACAATTGTTGATGAAACCCTCTTGGTTTTTATATTAAACGAACAAATAATAAAGCAAAGTCGCATGCAGAAGTAAGCAAATATAGAAATTTCCTATTTATATTCTATTGTAAATATACTATTATTCAAGTATAATATTGATTCTGGATTATTAATTAAAACCTATTCATAATACATGACAAATATAAAAATGGAATTAATTAAAATGGAATAAATACTAGATTAATTTCTAATAATTAGAAATATATTCGATGGTGTTTAATAGTTATTTACAAATGTGTTTTCGACATAAAACCAAATCTCATAGTAGACTTTATTTTTTAAATATAAAATATAAATCTCTTCTTAAAAAACAATTAACCCCAAAGTATAAATCTACACTACAGATTTTACTTTAAATGCTGTTTATTTCTTAATAAGTCAATTGTTAAATTATATTTAAACGAATTAATTATCAACACAATAAAATATTTTAAATAACTTTAGTCAATACGAAATATAAAAATATAAAAATTATATGATATTTGAAGACGTCAGTGGATGAAAGCCTTGTATTGCAAAATCAATTATAGGCCTACACGAAATATGTTGGACAATAGAGTTTTGAATGATTGTAACATAACACTCCACTTGTGTCTTCATTTATTACTTCCAAATACAAAAAATAAAAAAAATATATATTATAAATTTAATTTAGAATTAAAATATGTTTAATTTAAATTTTATATTCAAATTCAAGCAGAATATTTAATTTTTATAGAATTCATTATTTATTCATATGATGTTTGCACAGATTTTTCAATTGTTAGTAGACAAGGTATGCAAAATACATAAAGATCGAACTTACATAAAAGTATTTAACGATACTCCTTTGCTATTGGATAGAAATAAATTTTTTAAGATATGTTATCCACATATAAGAAGATTGGTATGCACTTACAATTCGTAAGTAGGAAAGTAATTTTTAGCTGATGAAGTTTGATTTGGACGAAAGATAACCGGAAAGGGATGAAGATTTTCCTGACGATTTTTGGAATTTTCTTTATTTTGTTCATTGTTAAAGGTAAATTTTTATTTCTTGACTAATTTTGTAGTAAACAGTAAAGTATTTTCTAGTATTTTAGTCATAATACTTAGTAATTTCGTTTTGTATGTCATACTTATACTGAAAATTTTCTTGGAAAACAGTAGTTTACTTTTTGAGGGGAAGTTAAAAAGTCACATTAATGCTAAATTCGTAGATCTAATATGCAAGAATTTTAAAAATGGTTAAAGAAACTTATTTAGAAAAGTGTAAATCGATGATATATATTCAAGAATATTAAACATTCATAATTTAATAACAAGTATATCCACAAACTTTTACTTGGTTATTATGTAAGTAATAACTCAATGCAATATTGATAAAAATGTTATTTCGAATTGGGATAAAGTAATATTGTTTATTTCGTACATCGTACACCCAACATTTCGACGTTTTTTACTTATAAATATCAAAAAGAATTTATAAAAGAAAAAAATAAAATACAGTATTCAGATAAATTTCATTCTAGCAAACTGAAAAGAGATAATAACTGAGTTTGAAATATTTTCAAAATATATTTTATTTGGAGATTTATTAATAGTTTCAATCACAAAATGAGACTGAAATGTAATCTTAATGGCCGGATGATCCAGACAGTTAAGGCTAATTCTAATCTCTAATTATACACGATCTTCACGAGATGGCATCTAAATTTAATGCTTTTTCTTCAGGGGAAAGCTCAGGGAAAGGAGGTCCAATTAACTATATACAAACTTCCGGTCTAGACCGAAAGTTACGTAATTTCAGTTCAAATATTTTCTCAAAAACGGAGTTAGATTTCCGGTATGACTTCATTATTAGGAAAAGTATGATTTACAGGGGCAAGATACTACTAACATAAAGAACATATATTTTAAATTAACTTAAAAGTATGATTAAAATTGCGGTTCGGCAATGTGACGATGTTATAATGATTTTTGCCCATTTGTGTTAGAATCTTACTTAGTTATTCTATTAACTTGAGGTTTAGATTTTTGAAAATTGAATTTTTTAATTTTCTACGATTTTAAAAATTCATAGAAAATTCACGAATTCGATCTTCAAAATTCCGAACCATACGTTAATAGACGGATTAAATGAAAGTAATGTGACTAGTAAATATACTGTATTTACTAATTATTTGGTAGAACAATAAAATTGATATGTGTGAAAACCGATATGTACTGTACAGTACGTACAGTAAAATTATGTGTAATTTCAATTAAAAAGGAAAACGGTATTCACAATACAAAAATACAGAATTTTGTCTTTGGGTAGGAAGACTATTTTTGTTCCTGTTGATTAGACAGGATGGAAAGGAAGACGACTTAGTTTCTTCTGTATTTTTTTACGTTTTCAATTGTGTTATGTTATACAGCTCTTATAAGATAAGAAAACGTGAAGAGAATCAAATGTCATTAATGACATCTGCAATTATCCTGTTACTTCAGATACTGAAGCAGTCCGAATAAGGGAGCATCCCGAAGGTTCTCTCTTAAGAGGACTCGATATGTTTAAGCAGGTTTCCGTTACGTAAAGCTTTAGATGAACTAATTTAGATAGGTTTTACGTTATTTCTGTATTCTGATCAAAATTATAGCTTTGAACTTTAATATGAACGATTATAACTTCACTAAATTTACAATTATTTAAATTACACTTGAAAAATAAATTGTCCATTAATCTGGGTTCTATATTTTACTCGAGAGTCATGGTAGTGACTCCGCGCCAAGTAAAAAAGTCACTGACTGACCGAATATACAGGAATTAAAGTTGGCGATTTTAGGGGGTCAATTTCCGCACTTCTCCAAACACCTGTAGTAAGTCTGAATATCTCGTTCGAAATTTCAAATACTTGTTTACTTAGGCAGTGTGCAAAATTTCAGATTTTTGTGCGAAGGAGTTGACAAAATATAATCGATCGAGTAGTGCAAAAATCTCCAAAAAAGCTGTATTTTTTTTCTATCCAACACTACAGACGCTCCTAGAGAAAAAAATTACTGGGTCTAGAAAGCTAAAATTTTAAACTTACCTTTTTCCGTTATCAGTGAGGTACCGGCGAAACGTCGGTACCTCACTGATAACGGAAAAAGTTTACGGGGATTCCTCATAGAACTATCTCACTTTTATCGCTTAATTTTACACTTGTAAAGATAAAATTGCATTGATACGAATGAATTTTATTCAAAATATATAAAACAACAAAAGATCAAATTTATGTGAATTAAAAGTTTTTATAACGATTTTACTAAACGGCATATTGAAAGCGTTCGGTAGTCATGTTAATTCTTGAAGTAATAACACAATGATTAAATAAAAACAGTTTATATCCAAATAATATCTGAGATGTAAAAAAATTTAGACAATAACGACAATAAATAAAAGTTTCAAATTTTTTCTTACGAGTTCTTCTTTCGTAAAGATAAGTTTGGTGCTTTAAAACGAATTGTAGAAAACAATAATATAGGTAAAAAATTTTGTGGGTACCGCTTCTAAGCACCAAACATCTTTACTAAGGAAAAGCTCCTAAGAAAAAATTTAGCTGTCATTTAAATTGTTTTAATATTTTATTTCGCGCAATTTTTAACATCTCAGATGTATTTACTTGTATAAAAGTAATAAACTAAGCAAATTTCAGTGGATTTATTTCTCATTTTTAGGCTTCCTAGTCGATAATCCAACAGAACCCAAGCAAATCGAACTGATATCTCATCTAAAGAGAAGTAAAAGAGCTTGCTCTGGGAGAAGTACCAAAGTGATTCGCATTACAGGAAGTAAGAGGAGCGAAGGCGGAGGATGTCCTATGGCCGCTTCTCCGTGTGCGGCAGCACCACCTCCCTGTGGTGCAGCACCAAGTCCTTGTGATATGGCTGCTGCTAGGGCCCCGCCACCTCCTCCTCCACCGCCACCGCCACCTCCTCCTCCTCCACCGCCACCGCCACCGCTTCCACCACAACCAATATATATTCCTATGGGCGGAGGAGGCTGCTGTGGACAAGGAGCAGCAGCTCCTACAATTGTTACCTCTCCAGCTGGTGGACCGGTGATAGTGACAGGGAGTGGATCAGATGGCGGAGGTGGAGGTGGTTTGCCATCTCTTCCGGGTGGTGGATTGCCTGATATAGGCGGCGGTTTGCCCGATTTAGGCGGCGGATTGCCCGATCTAGGATTAAGTGGTGACTTTCCAAGTGGCGACTTAGGTGGATCACTGTCAGATCTTGCTGGTGAGGTAGGATTAAGATACCGAATCCCGAAACGATTTATTATGGTGCCTAATCGAAGAATATCTCAGACACCTCGAGTAATAATATTACCACCATCCAAACCACCAGTTCAACGTTTAAATCTCAGAAATCTTCGGTCACGAGGAACACATTTTAGAGTTCAGCAACCGACTGTTATTTACACAGGTCGTCCAGCAATTATAATACGAAAATAAATCAAAGAAGAAATACGACAATTTGTTCTCGTATGCGAATATTAGTTTAAATTAGCTATCGATACTGTACTAAGTAAAACTACAAAATTTTCTTGAATATTTCTTCACTAATATTAGTTTGTTTCTATTAAAATATTGTTATTATAAGTAGTTATAACTGTGATGTGAATAATAAGTTGTTTCAAAATTTTAAAATAAACTTCTAGTATTAATATGGTATAGAGAAACTTATATTGTTAAGTTTTTTAAAGATTCGTATTTAAGAAACACGTTAACCGCCACCCTGCGTGCGTTTCTTATTGTATTTGTTTTGATCAATGAGTAAAGTATAAAGGGGAGTAGATAGTAAACAAATATCGTAATGAGATCCAATTATTAAGTCAACAGTTACTCCACAATTAATTAAATGATTTTTTCTATATTTCGTATTATACAGTGGTACCTCAGGTTACGAACGCCCCAGCATACGAAATTTTCAGGATACGACATGAAATTCGAACATATTTTTGCTCCACGATACGAACAAAAACTCACCATACGACGTTACATTAGTTCGCATTTTTCATTTGTTTTTCTTACTAGAGTTATTTTTTTTAATGTATTACTTGGCTTTAATTTGAGTATGTTTTTCGCGTTGGAACGAATTATTTGGTTTTACATGTAATCGTATGAAAAAAGATGATCCACCTTACGACATTTTCATGATACGATCTCAGTTTCGGAACGGATTAATTTCGTATCATGAGGTACCACTGTATTAACGTTTATATTAAGAAGGGCCCAGGTTACACCAGAGCAGGAAGTTAGTCTGATTCAAGGTCAACTAGTTGAGTTTACTCTCCTGATAGCTCGGTGCATGTGCTGCTTTTTTCAACTTTTTTCTGATCTGTAGGCATTAAGAGTTCTTTTAAAAAGCCCATGATAGGTAAATGACATATAATGGGGCGGCCGATGGTGAGGAACGAGACCTTTCATATTCATTCGGACCATTCCCAAAAATCTCCTGGTGTTTTTCGACCGGTTCGGATTAGAAAAGACAAAGTTCTAATATCCATAAATCAATAGCCAAAACTGTAAAAAGTTTTCTTTTTTAAAAAAGAGTAGTGACAGCTCCAAATCAGGTTTTATAGACGCTTTATTTTTCGAATTTTACCGACTTGTAATGTATTAATATCTAATAAATGTTTATCTTACATTATATTAAAGCTATTTTTTGCACAACAATTATTTCAATTTGTAAATAATCATAAAAATCATTGGTAATTTTCTGCTTTAACAGATACTCTTTCGCCTGTTTTATTCTGTTAAGTCGAGGGTTTATTTCATATATGCGCTTTGAAAAAAATCACGAGAGGTAAACATTGCAAAAACAATAGAACTAAATCAGGTATTTGCAGTTATCTTTCTGAGACGAGCCTTGTGAGATGTAAAAAACAAGTTTAGGGAAAAGGCTTCGATTATTGACTTGTAAAGGGTAAGTTAATGGTCAAAGGACAATTTTATTATATTGTATCTAACGTAGTACACATACAGTACCTACCTAATCTTCGACTATATGAATAATATAGTCAAAGACTAAGATTAGGGGTTATTTTCTTATTTCCACTTAAATTAACATAGACTTTCATCTTCAACAACTCCCTCTTCCTATCGGACTCAGCGGTATGGCAGTATTTAAATAGGAAATTATATAATAAGGGATTACCAGCCCGCGTAGAATATGTTTTAACTGCTTTTCGAGGATGTCGAGTTTAAATATTTGATCCACTTTTTGCGAAATTTGATTCTTTGTCAGATTACCACTTGATATTCTGCTGTAAACAAAGCAGTTTTATTAGTGCTAACATTAGAAAAAAGTAGGATATCTTAAAAATTTAAGACATCGTATTTTCAATTGGTGTCTACTTGACCAATAAAACTGTACCATATAGTACCACCCGAGTAACAACGGTAGGCTAAAATAACCAATTTCTTTATATGGTTTTCGTTTTAATGTTTGTTATATTATAATATTTGATTTATATACAAAGGTTATCGTACGCAATCTAACACATTTTAAATTAAAAATTCTTTATACTTCTACTGTACAGAATTTAAAGAAATTTTTAAATGTGTTAGATTGTTCACTTCGTGCGATAAACTCTTACATAAGATAACATTTGCCGTTATATAAATCAAATAATACAATATAATATAATAAAATGGTTAGACGTACGAAATAATCTTAATGTGTATTTTTATTTTTTGTCTTACCTGCTAGTTAATGATGAATGAGAATGGAAATGAACGTTATAATTAACTCCCGTTTTCTAATAACGACAGTTTAAAAAACAGCAACAATACAGTAAGCATTTTAAACACATTTATATAAAATCATACAGTTATTTAATTTTTATACTCGATATTATAATAAAGAAACAAATCTAAAGAATAACTCATTTATTTAAAATAAACAAACGAAACATTTTTTATTATTTACTAGTAATTGCTCATATTTTCATTTTTAATATTAATTTTGGACATTAAGGTAACAATCGTGAAAATACTAGTCGCTCTGTTCACTTTACATCTACATCACTGCATATGCTGCATTCCCAATATTTGTCTAATAATTATTTACAAATCTAATAGATGATTTTAATCGTGTTTGTTTTACATTTTATATTCTAAAAACTTTAGGTTTCATAATTATTTTCGAAAAAAGAGATAATCGCTAATTATATTTATGTGAAAATAGCGACGTCACACTGTAGATGCAAGCAAAAAACTTTGTAGTCGTATTATTCAAATTGCAAGAAAATTTTAAAGATGTTTCGTTTAAGTGACATGTTCAGAATTACATAATTTTAGCAATTTCATTGGATTATTTTTTCACCGATCACCGTACTTTCTCACTGCTATATAAAATATAACTGCGGTAGTGTAAAATGTAACTGTAATTTTTATATATATTATACATTTCACACGCTGTAAACTAAAAGATCCTTAAACATGCCAGGACAAAATTCATACATTACAATATTAAATGAGTAGAAGTAATGACAAAAGTGTCTTCTTTTAAATCTTAACATCCGTTTCACACTTCGAAAACTAACTTGTATCTACGACGGAGTCAACCTTCCATTTTAGACTACTCTTCCGCCTCAATATGTAATACACGGTTTAAAAATGTTCTCAAGGTTTTCTCCACAATCATTAATATTATATTTAATTTATTAAATATAATATTTAACTGTTATATTTATTTTATACATAACCGTGTTATATTATATTTAATTTATTAAATATAACACGGTTATGTATAACATAAATATAACAGTTATATTAAATTTTTTAACCGTGTTTTATATATTGAGGCGGAAGAGTAGCGTAAAAAAAGAAGATCGACTCCGCGGTAAAGACAGTTATTTATAGTTCCCGAAGTGTGAAAAAAAACGTTAAGATTTAAAAGAAGACACTTTTGTGATTACTTCTACGCATTAAATATTGTAATGTAAAAGATCCTTCTAATCCTGTATATAGAATAAGCCAGGTAAACTTTATTATTGGAGTAAAAAAATTGTACGCCTATAAATTCTTGCTGCGTCCGCCTGTCTCAAGAACGAAGTTAGATAAATGACAGACAAAACCTGATATCGAAACCGTGGGAGCAAAAGGACCCGATTAACTATATATAAACTTCCGATGCAAGCCGGAAGTCACGTTATTTCAATTTTAATATTTTCTCCTAAAAGAAGTTAGATAGATGACTGGCACGACTCTATTGTTAACGGAAAAGTGGAATGTACAGGGGCAAGACACTACTAATTTTAGGTGGAGAGGATATATTTTAAATTAAATAAATTAAAAATTTGATTATAAATTGCATCCAGGTATTGAAACTATGCCATAATAAATAATTTTATAGTTACTTTTTGATAATTTAAGAACTTTTTAAACTTAAATCTACGGAAAGCGCTTAAAACACAGAATGAAATAGTGTACAGTACATTCAATATCTAAAAAATCCATCGATGTATCTCGTAACTTTCCTGGCGTAGTTGGGAAAGTTATGCATCAAGTGGCTGAATTCTTTTTTTTTTTTTTTTTTTTAATTTGGTGCATCATTATGTAAAAACTTTTATAAGACAAAAGCTCCGTCTTCATCATGAGCTTAAAAATCATACGACTAAACTGTTTATTAAGTTTTATCTCATTCGATATAGGCAGAGTCGGTTTTGTCCGCCCTTATCAATGTTGATCGCACGTAAATTCATAACCTAATCCAACAAGCGAGAGCCTACTGGTATGTTTTAGGATAGTTTCATATAGTTGATAAGGGTAAAAATTATATATAAAAATATTTGATATATATTTATTTTAATTTAATTCAAACCAAGCTGCCTCGTAGATAACTGGCGCGTTTGTTCAAAGTTATATTTTAGCACTGCCATAAAATATAATTTGCAAATTGAAATGAAATTAATTTTAAAAAATATTTCTTATTTAGTATAATACTATATATATATAGTATTATACCGCACAACAATTATTTCAATTTGTAAATAATCATAAAAATCATTGGTAATTTTCTGCTTTAACAGATACTCTTTCGCCTGTTTTATTCTGTTAAGTCGAGGGTTTATTTCATATATGCGCTTTGAAAAAAATCACGAGAGGTAAACATTGCAAAAACAATAGAACTAAATCAGGTATTTGCAGTTATCTTTCTGAGACGAGCCTTGTGAGATGTAAAAAACAAGTTTAGGGAAAAGGCTTCGATTATTGACTTGTAAAGGGTAAGTTAATGGTCAAAGGACAATTTTATTATATCGTATCTAACGTAGTACACATACAGTACCTACCTAATCTTCGACTATATGAATAATATAGTCAAAGACTAAGATTAGGGGTTATTTTCTTATTTCCACTTAAATTAACATAGACTTTCATCTTCAACAACTCCCTCTTCCTATCGGACTCAGCGGTATGGCAGTATTTAAATAGGAAATTATATAATAAGGGATTACCAGCCCGCGTAGAATATGTTTTAACTGCTTTTCGAGGATGTCGAGTTTAAATATTTGATCCACTTTTTGCGAAATTTGATTCTTTGTCAGATTACCACTTGATATTCTGCTGTAAACAAAGCAGTTTTATTAGTGCTAACATTAGAAAAAAGTAGGATATCTTAAAAATTTAAGACATCGTATTTTCAATTGGTGTCTACTTGACCAATAAAACTGTACCATATAGTACCACCCGAGTAACAACGGTAGGCTAAAATAACCAATTTCTTTATATGGTTTTCGTTTNAAGCCTGGGCCACATAACCATATTATTCAATATAGTATACTGAAGGATTAAATTAATAACATTCATGCGTATCTCTTTCTGTATTTAACTTTCCTTTGTGATTCCGTCAACAATTAAAGCTTTACTTACACAATTGTTTTAAAATTAACGGTA